GCCAGGGCTCCTTTGCAGACTGCACTGCACTATAATCAACAATTGCTAGACGCAGAGGAGGAACTAGTGGAGCGGCTGGACTGTACTATTCGCCCATCGCCGCGCGGGGCTGCGAACCCGCGGCGTACGGATCGGTGCCGCCCCGCCCGGGCCACCGTCTCCTGCTCAGATCCCTACGGAACCCAGGCGTTGGCACTTGGTACCCACCGTCGGTGACCGGCTTGGGCCTGGGACCAGAAGAGCGGTCCGGCCCTCGAGGGGTGGCGGGGGACCCCGATGCCGTGGGGGCTCGGGTGGACGAGGCTGCCTCGGTGGAGCTGGGGCCCTCTGTGGTCACCACCAAGGTGGCCGGGGTCTGGGTGCTCCCCGGGGCCCAGCAGCCCGCGAGCAAGAGCAGTAGCGGCCGAAGCGCCGGCGGCCCCATCACCCGAGGGGTCCGGCGGTCCAGGCCGCCGCCTGTCAGTTGCCTGGCAACCAGGGCGGCTGGCGCGCAGCATCACGGGAAGGAGCGCACGAAGGCTCGCGAGACGACGGGAACCCTGGAGGCGCGGCTGCGGCTCCCGCGTGCAGATTCCCGGGCTCCGCCCAGGCGCTTCCAGTTCGGCCGGCAGAGCGCTGGGCCCAGGAATCGGGATGTTAGGACACATGTCATTCCGGGACCGGGGAAGGGGCGGGGTTCTGGGACCGCTGTCCAGTAGCTAGGTCTCTGTTTTGCAGAAGCGCTGTCATCCCGCCACCGTCCTTGACTTTTTCTCCGTCCAGAGTCCACTCCACCTTGTCTGTTGTCGATGCTTCCGGGAGGGAGGTTGCCGGGGACGTGTGTCCACCGCGTGTGGTTAGGGGTACGGACGAATACTGGACAGAAATCGTTGACCCACCTTCAGTAGAATGCTTCGTTGGTCTTAAAGCGCAGAGCGACCCAACTTTGATTGCACAAAGTGATGCAGGGACACCAGACTCGGTGGAGAGTCCCGATCGCAAAGGGCCCCGACACGTGGGTCACCCCGACGTGGCCTTTCTGCCCTGAGCATCTACTCTCCTTACAGTCCGAAGAAGTCAGGATGCTAGTTAGTAAGAAACGTGCTTACCCACTCAAAAGAAGGCGAAAACAGCACACCACCTACTCTAATTAAATAAATCTAGCAAAAAAAAAAAAGTAAAAATAAAAATAATGAGTAGCACCCAAACAAAGTGTATGAAGATGTAGCGGGGTGGGCGGGCGGGGGCTGCAGAACTGAGATGTCTAGACCGTCCCTTCGGAGGACTGCCTGAGCTTTTTCTTTGAAAAACAAAATAAAACCTATTTTTTCCATTCTTAACATCTCACAACCTCTAAATGCATGAACTTCCTTTTCTTTCTAGATTTTTTCTTTTTTAATTCTTTAACTCAAGGACAAATTTATTTCTGCCTTGAGGGTTTTTTTTAAACCACGTTTTTAGTGTAAAAGGCATTTTGAAGGAAATGGAAACTTGCAATTGTGTACATTTGATGCGGTGGGTGGGACGTGTGCGGGAGGTGTCTGGGTGGGTGGGACATGTACTGGGGCGTGTCTGGGTGGGTGGGAAACGTCGTGGGGATGTCTGAGTAGGTGTCTGAGTGGAAGGGATATGTGTTGGGGGGTGTCTGTGTGGATGAGACGTGCTGTGGGAGTGTCTGGGTGGGTAGGAGATGTAGGGATGTCTGGGTGGGTGGGGCATGTGCCGGGGGTGTGTCTAGGTGGGTGGGAGACGTAGTAGGGTGTGTGGGTAGGTGGGACGTGTACTGGGGGTGGGTGTCTAGGTTGATGAGACGTGTGCTGTGGGTATCTGGCATGGTGGGATATATGTTGGGGGTGTCTGGGTGGGTGGAACGTGTGCTGGGGTTGTCTGGGTGGGAGATGTTGTGGGGGTGCCTGGGTGGGTGAGACATGTGTTGGGGCGGATCTTGGTGAGCGAGAGACATCGAGGGGTGTCTGGGTGGTGGATCACGTGCTAGGGGTGTCTGGTGCAGGGTCTGATGAGAGAAGGTCCTTTTCTTCAGCCACACAGCTGCACAGGCGTCCAGCAGATGGCAGCGCTGAGAGCAGGCCAGCAGCCTCCCAGCAAAGCTCAGATGACTGTGGGTGGCACTGCTTGTCCCATGGTCACAAGAGTTAACATCTGCTACTCGCTTTGGCGTTTTCCTCTTTATGGTTGAAGGCCTGTCAGCCCCTCTTCAGGTCTAACCTTTGGAATTGGACAGCCAGGGCACAGTTTGGGAAATAATCTCAGCCTTGTTTCTTGTCTGATCTCTGCTGCTCAGTTGTTAAGTGCTGTTGAGTCAACTAGAACTCACAGCGACCCTATGAACCATGGAGCTGAACCTGTCCGATCCTGTGCCACGCTGCCGTTTCTGGCATTGTCCAGCTTGCCCTGACAATCGCTATGTGAGTCCACCACTTACTGACCCTCCACCTTTCCAAGCATGATGTCTGATTCCAGGATCTGGCTCCTCTTAACAACATGCCCCAAATATCTAAGACCAAAAGCTTAGGACATTTTACGAACTCAGAATGAGGGTTGTGTCAATGCATATATGCTTTTCAAACCTTGGGAAACTAGGATGTTCATTTCAAAGATGACCTGTTTCTGTCAGGTGATACCTTTTTTCCTTTTACTTTCTTTGAGGTTTGAGTGAAAATGTGCAGAGCAGATTTGGATTCCATCCAACTGCTCATACCACCTTGTGTTAGGACACTGATCACAATCTCCACACTGTTCCTACCCTCTGTTCACTCCATTCCCTGCCTTCTGAGCTTTGTCTCCGGACCAGTTCTGCCCATGTGGTCTTGTGTGATTGGTCAGAGGTCCGAGTAATCTCCCTGCTGTCACAATTTATCTTATACATCTGACCCATGTTGGCTGAACATAGCACCACAGGGGTGCGCTCAGTGCCATGCACACAGGGTGGCGAACGGCCATCATCCAACCCTGCCAGGGCCTCAGTGGGAGGGTGGCTTGGAGCTCTCATGAAGATTACAGGCTAGACCCTCTGGGACAGGTCTTCCCTGTCACTCAGGCTCACTAGGGGTTGAAATAAACTTGGCACCCAGTAACAATACCAACAACAAACCAGGTTTACTCACGCATCTTGGTTCAACAGAGCTGGGAGGAGCAATCATGAAGCATTACGGAGGGGTGATTACAGGACCAAGGACTGGCATCACCACACTGACAGAAGTCACTGGTTTTCTGTTATTTACTTTTTATTTTTATGTGGGTGAAAGCTGCAGAGCAAACTTGTTTTCCATCGAGCAGTTCATGCACATTTTGTTTCACAAACATTGCCGTCCCCACCAAGTGGCAGCACTCTTCCCACTTCACCATGTGTTTCCTGTTGCCATTTAGCCTTCCCTCCTGTCTCTTCCTGCTTCTGCGCTTTACCCCGGGGTGTAGCTGTCCTTGTGATCCAGTATGGAGAATGGCCTGAGAAGTGTGTGTCTCCCACCCTGTGTTTCTGTTCACTTTTTAGGCCTGTGGTTTACCTGAGAGTTGAACCATGACAGTGAATTCAGTTGCAATGAGTAAGGGCCACCGGCATTCCTGCTGTCTGCCCGCCCAGTAAGCCTGTGGGTTGGTGTGGTTGTGAGTCTGATGCACGTTTTTCTCCCCCTCTTTCCAGGACCTTGTGCTGTGAGTCTTTCAGAGCCGTGGCTAAAGGTGGCGCGCCACCTCCCGTTCATCTACTCTCGGTCCTGGAGGCTGAGAGTCACAGCTGTGCTGGTCCTTTGGACTAATTAGCCCTTGAATCTTTGCTTTCAATCACTCTTATTTGCTTCAGACAGGGAGAGACCAATGCCGTAATGCCCTCATGCCCCTTTGTAATCAGCTAGCAACACTGATCTATTTCCTGTCTCCACACTCTTGCTGCTTTCAGGATGTCACAACCCTAAAGTCACATGTGGCTTTTTTAGCCCATTTTTTACATTGAGCACAGTGCCTTTGAGATTCATCCGTGCTCTGGGAATTGACAGTTCATTCTTTCTTATTGCTCCTGAGTCCTCTATGTGTGGCTGTGTGGCAATTTGTACATCTGTTCACCAGTTGCAGGACATTTGAGATTCTCTAGGCGGGGGTGATTGCGAATAAAGTAATTCTAAACATTCATATATAGATGTTCTTTGAGTGAAGGCATTCATTTCCCTTGGGTAAATATCTAAGGAATAAGAGTTCTAAGGTGTATGGAAACCCTACTGATACAGTGAATAAAGCATTCGACTGCTAATTGAAAGGTCAGTGGTTCAGGTCCACCAGGCACACTGTGGAGAAGGATAAGGCAGTCTGTTTCTGTAAAGATCTGCAGCCTTGAAAGCCATGAAAGGCAGTTGTATGCTGTCTTCTAGGGTCCCTGTGTACAGTAACTGAGTCCATGGCAGGAAGCAGTTTGGTTTGGGCTACTGGGTTTCTGTTTTTCTTTATCAGAAACTACTGAAGGTTTTCCAAAAATGCCATTTTTAGTTGCACAGCTATGTATGAGAGTTCCAGTTGCTCCATAGGCTTGCGAACATTTGGTGCGATATCATTGCTTTGCTCTTCGCCATTCTGACAGGTGTGGAGCAGCATCAGCGAGGGTATTCGCTTTGTGGTTTTAGTAGTTGGCTTTTACTAAATCAGATCACCTCGTTATGGAACCTTTGCATTGCACTTTAATGGTGCCAAACGCAACTGTGATAGTCAGACATTTAAGTGTTAATGTTCCATTTAATAGATCGTTATTAAATGAAGAAAGAATCGCTTTTTCTGTGGTAAAGAAACCTGCAGAATGGGACTAGTGTTGTTTCTCAGAGCCTCTGAGCATCGCTGCTCCTTCCTCTCCTCCCCCAGCTTCCGTTTCTGAGATTCTCTGCTGTAAACTTGTTTTCTTCTGTGATCTCAGGACCTGCAGGTAGTTCCTCTTTTGTTGACCCTTACTGACAGCCAGAAGTGGGTTGCCCAAGAACAAGGTTTGCCGGAGTTTATTGTTGTTGTTGTTGGGTACCATCGAGTAGGCTGTGACTCCTAGCAACTCTGAACAGCAGAGCTGAGCCCTGGCCTGTTTGGCATCATCCTCACAATTTCTGATGTGCTCCAGGCTACTGTTACCCTCACTGTGCCCATCTGGCTGAGGGTCTTGCTATCTTTCTCTAGCTCTCCACCGTTCCCGGCCTGATGTACCTCTCCAAGGACTGCCCCCTCCTTCTGACATGCCCAAAGAGCATGAGATGAAGTTCCACCATCCTTGTGTCTAAGGCGCAACCCTGGTTGCACTTCCAAGACAGACTTCCTGGTTCTCTTGACAGTCCATGGGTTACTCAGTGCTATTCTCCAACACCACAACTCATAGGCATCAATTCTTGTTATCCTGATTGTCCAACATCCTCATGTAGAGAAGGTCATTGAAAAGACCATGGCTTGGATCAGGTGCAC